TCCTCTAACATGAGCAGGTCAGATGAAGACCAAAGATTGCTAGGAGACATCTATACGTTATGCTGCGATGCCACTCGTGGTTACTCAACAAAGCCAGCTACAATTATAAGATGAAAACGGTCTTTTTAAATAATGTTCACATGGCTGTTTCTAAACTTTAATGTATCTACTGGTCTTCATTTACGTGGTTACCAAAGCATAAACACAAACATTCTGATCAGTTGTTCTAATACGATTTGGGGAAGCTGTACTGCTCGGGTTTGCACGCATTTAGATAAAGTAATTACCAATCCAATCTTTCTGCACCAGTCCATCTGTCAATCTCGCCATCTTTTTCTCATTCATCTTCAAGACGAAGAGATTCTTGAACTCTTTCAAGGCGTCTTTCCCCAGTTTCATCATAGCTGGTTCATAGGGGAGAACGGGGTAATGTAGGACATCAGTAATGTGAGACACGCCCTGTATCTAGGCAACGAACACATTTGTGTCTTGCTAGCTTTGGCTTTGCAACAATCTGAACTTATACACAAACACAAACTTTGACATGAGTTATTTGAATTTTTATTTTTTTAATAAAGCAAACTATTTTGAGTTTTAGATTAACTTAGTGTTATCTTATATATGATAAAGCGTCTCTACCATTCATTCCTCGAGCTGAAACGCTACAATATTGAGGATTGGAGAAGGAAGTACAACTTTCCTTTGACTAACATAACTATCCAAGTGAGTTTGGTTAGTGTGAGATGAATATTATCTACAAAAAATAACAACACTTGGTTCATCAATGTTCATCAATGCCCAGAAGAAGGAAAATAAATAAATATGGTGAATAGCAACAAAGTAATGGAAATCAAATGTGCAGAGGGTGGGTCAGAGATGGGCTGAGGTCCCAGTTGGCCCAGACTTCAAACATCTTGAGCTGCTGCACTAAGCACCTGTAGTGCGTTAGAGCTGCTCTCATCACTATCACAGATCATACAGTTCTGCCAGTGAGACGCAGAGGAGCGGGACTTCAAACATTACACCGAATGACACACTCTTATAAGAACAATTTAGGGACTTATTTTCCTTAATGGCTTCACTGTTCAGTCATTTAAAGCAAAGATTACAGGAAACAGAACACATAACTGCCTATTTCTAATTTTGCAGATAGTCATATTTCACAATGCACTTCAACTTTATTCTATTATAAGCCTTGCACTGATCTGAACTAGGACAAAAGTGTCAAAAATGCATTAATATTGAACTATAATATTTCAGAGTCATTCTGCTGAGCCAAGGTTGTGTTGTCTGATGTTTGCTGACTCACAGTGCGACGTGGTTCCCATGTGACCCTGGATCTGTTGACCACACGGTTCCCCACTCCCCATGAACAGGAAGCCTGTTTGCAATGCTCCAATCTCATCTTTAATTGCATTCCATTTAATATTAGTGATTATATGTTAATGTCAGCAGCACTCGCCCCTTACACTCTCGCTATGGTTATATATGGTAATATTTATCTCTATCGTAGACACCAGATTATTTCTGTCTTGAGTACATGATGCTTGTTTCCTGCTGACGTGTCTGAGATGTCCTGAACATCAGAGTGTCTCACTCACATCTCTGTGAACTCCATGATGGCAGCTGGAGAATATGTCTCCACATTACTGCAGTCTTCTTCACTGGTGTTTCTGTTCAGCCTAAAACAGCATCTCCAATTCAATCCTCAGATTGTGCACTCCAGATTAGTCTACAAATTATCTTAGTAATGAGATATTCTGTATATATATATTTAAGTATTTACAGCTAGTAAAGTATCATAGCACCTATACTTGTATATTTTGCGTGTTCTCTGTGTGCTATTACCACTGTCATTTGCACTGCAACATGGAAACTGCAACTGCAAAATGTGGGACGAATAAAGGTTCTCTTATCTTATTAACTGACTCTACATTTCTAACTGGAGAGTATGATAAATAGAATAAGATTAAAATATAGTTTTATATGAACCACATTGAGAGTAGAGTTGGCACAGCCCAGAAGCATTTCTGTTTGAAAAAAGTGCCATACTTTTAGGAATTAGGAAAATTAACAGATTAATCGAGGCATCAAATTGTTATTGAAGTTGTTTTGTAATTTATGAATTCAATGATTCGATTAACTTTATGATTTGAGATTGTGTAAAAAAAATCATAAAAAGCATGTTTTAGAAGTTTTATCTGACCCTTGCTGATTATAGCATCTTGTTTGATATAAATTTACCCTCAGTGGTAAAGGTGGTAATAACAGGACATGACACCTTCTTTAAGCACGAGCCAAACGTCCCAGGACTCTCGACATCTCTGTCAGCAGAGCTAAATTTACAAGACAATAAATTAACAGGACTTTCAGACACATATGCAGCATGACACAATTGTCCCTGAATAACTGTTCCATTTCAACTGTCTGACCTAAACAGGTAATAACATTTCACCAGCCTTTAAATGCTGATGAAAGATGTAGTTTTATTTTAATTCATCAAAATATTTTATACAGAAATGCATTATGTACAATGTAGTGTCAAACGTCTTTCAGGGTCCATAAAAGTGCGATGTAAAACAATGGAATTCATCTAACAACAGAACCTTCCTACTACTGAGCCTCTGTCTCCACTGAATGATTCACGATCATTACTTGGTAGTTGCATTTCATGTCCTTGTCGAGCATGTTCTCATTTCTTCTAAGTGATGGGGTCTCTAAATGTGGGAGCGTATATTTTAATACGAACAAACATGTTTTCTTGATTGCTCATATGCCTTGGATTTTCCCCTGTTTAGCCTCTGATGTAGCCAGTACTTTTCCCTTCTGGATTCTGTTGCAACTTGTCTCATCTAGACAAACACTTCCTTCCAAAACTATTTGACAATTGCTTTTCTATTAAAAAAAGGGATGTGAGCGTCCACAATGTGCAGAAATCTGTCACAACAATTTACAAAAGCATTTAGAAGAAAGTATCAACATAGTTTAGATTAGCGTCTTTTCCTCACCTCAGCCGACTCAATCCATTCACCAATAGTGTTGGGGTATTAAAGCTCAAATACAAATGTGTTTATTAAGAAGATTAGCAGTCACAGTTGATCTGGCATAAACAGAGGAATTGTTTTCTCGAGTATTTGATAAATTCATGGTTTACTACAGCTAACTAATTCCAAAAAGAATTTTGCACATTATTTTAAGCAGCAGATGAACAACATTGAAGGAGCCACAAGTTAACATGGGGTTGCATTGTCTTATTAGACGACACAATAACTATCCAAATGTGTCATGAGGCACATTCTGCTGTCTGATTGAATAATAATCCCTGTGAGAACCTCAACACTAAATAAGGTAGTGGGGTGCATCATGGACAATCGACAGTGGCGGACTCAAGGAACCCTTCTGTCGTGATTTCTCTAATGAAAATCCCTAGGAGCATCACATGGTGGTCTCAGCAGGGACTTCTCTATTGAAGCATTTTCTTCAAGTTCACATTACTAGATCCCATGGGGCAATCCTTTAACAGACAGTGACACATACTGTATAAAACCATGCAGTTCATCCTAATGATAGGAATATTACACATTTCATGAGTACAACCATATAATATTGTGACTGCCCTGAATTCCCATCAGTTACAAAAAAATATAATCATGAAAAAAATATAATCATGAACCCATATTTCTATTTCTATCATGTATTGTATATAATTGCTTTTAAATCTATAAATTGATTCCTGTTTATAAGCTTGAAATAAAATCAATCAATCAATCAATCAATCAATATTTGTCGGGACGTTTTTTGGATCTCTCTGTTCTGCTACCTTCTAAGAAATTAAGAAATAAGATATGATAAGATAGACTTTATTGATCTCATGCAGGAGAAATTTACATGTCACATTTGGCATGGATAGAATCACTCAAGATTGTGCAACAGAAAGAAATGTGCAAACATGTTTAATGCAGGATATATTATGTACAATAAAAAATGGCAATCAAGAAACCGTGTCAATAGTAGTTTTTTCAGTCCTAATGCAAGTGAATTAAAGTGACTTACTGACATAAACATTGGTTTGTCTTGGGGACAATATTATCCAGGAGTCAAGATTTGTGCAAGGACAGTTTAGAGGTGTATGGTTATTGCAGGTTTTTATGGAGGATGACAGCTTGCAACCAAAACACGGGAGAAAGTCCTGTATATTACACATGTGGTTCTGATTTAAACCATATCATCGCTACACGGATCATCTTTGCTCTGCTCACACATTTCAACATTCTTAGCTTTCTTTTGTAATTTCTTTGTTTAGTCAAGTTTGTTTCATGCAAATTGTCCCTAAAATGAAAGTTCTGTACATTTACCCATTTAAGTGATACAATATTTTAAATTGCATTTTTGTTATATAATATATAAATATCGTTATATATTAATATCAACGTCTAAAAAGTTACTGTCACAATGGGTAGCTTTTGCACGGGGGAAATAATTGTTTTGGGTTTGTATTATTTAGTATACTCATGAGTGGGCCTGCATCTCCACATCATCATTTATCATTTTAAGGCATCTACGCTGGAAAGACAGCAGACAACTCAGTAACCTCTGATGTGCCCAATAAACAGAGCCCTCCCTCATGTCTGTCTCTCTCTCCGAGCGCTGCCAGTGATAAAGCACCGGTCCTGCTTGAGCATCAAACCCGCAGCGCGGATAGACGCACTCACACCGGGGCTCACACCGGGGCTCACACCGGGGCTCACACCGTCTCAGTGCTGTCACTCTTGACCCAAAGTGTCTGGACTTACCCTGAGCACGTGCGCTGGGACCGGACACTTGTTGCCTGCGGATGTGCGCGCGTTGCACCGACAGCAGCGCGTTTGTGATGGACGCTCCAGAGAGCACTGAATACCGAGAACCAAGTCTGAAGGCACCTCTCACTCTATAAAGTTGACTTTCGTTTTTTTTGTTTTGCCTCTGTGGATAACTGAAACAGATCTGGCCTTCAGTTCGCCATGCTTGTGCTAAAGCGGTTTTTGAGCATCAGGACAGGGGGGACAGCGGGGGTCAGGCTCTCGCCCAGGTGGTCGTTCTGCCCCAAACCCATTCCTCTGCGGATTTACAGTATGTGCCTTCTCCTGCTGCTGCTTCTCATGCCACGAGTGGACACTTCATGGTGGTAAGTACTGCGATCAGGGACTTTTATTTAATAATAATAATCTGGAAAAGAGGTGGCAAAGGCACTAGGGTCCTATATTGTCTCTTTCTCTTGCAAGGCAAGGCAAGTTTATTTGTATAGCACAATTCATACACAAGGCAATTCAAAGTGCTGAACCAAACAAGAAAGCATTAAAATCATAAATAATCACAGAACATTTAAAAGAAAGATAAAAATATAAAATCCCTCAGTCGTATGCACAGCTAAACAGGACTGTTTTAACCTGGTTTTAAACATTGTCAGAGAGGAGGCCTGTCTCACATCTTCAGGAAGATTGTTCCAGATTTTAGCAGAAGTAAGATACTAGTTAACAAATCAACTCTGCTATTGAAATCATTAACTTGTAAATGTACAAGATTTTGTAGGCACTGAAGTAAAGAAGCAACATTTATTTGTTGAAAAATGTATATTTATCCTATTTGATATTTATTATAGGAATTGCCTTTGTTACGTCATTGTATGTTTAATTCTAGGACTGAATAAGATTATACAAAAGGTCAGCTTATTCTGAATGCTACCAAATGTATATCTGAACTTAGGAGCCTGGCTAACCATCATTTAATAAATTGTAAACATGGCTAATCTAAAAACCTGTTTTATATCATGTCGTCCAGAGATTTTTGGGTTCAAACCTAAGAGGTGAAAGTAAAAAAGTCAGAAAAAGAGGTGAAGTACTGTTACTGAGTAGAAATACTGACGTACATACAGGTCTAACGTAAAAACACGTAGTTACTAACTGTTCTGGAATGATCACAGAGTTGAGACATGGCTGCAGTTATTTATTTATATTTCTTTATGTACATTTCACTCTAAATTAAAGCTTCAAAGTTATTCTTGTAAGTGTTAGCAGTGGTTTACCAGACTTCCAATAGTGTGGTTACATGTGAGGGTTGTGGAGCTCAGCAGGGGCTTGCTTTGACGAGGAGGCGGTGGAGGCTAGTCATTAATTCTCACAGATACCTCACACACAAACAGGACTTCACTAAAATATCCAGAAAACTCTGTCTGTGTAATAACATACGAGAAAACGTGTTTATGAGAGGGAACTGTCTGTGTGTGGGTGGACTGCAATGAAAGAACGCCTTTTAGCACTTTGTTGCACGGTATAAGTGCTGTTATAATAAGAGAAAAAAATGGTGTACTTTCATCTTTTAGAATTTTCAAACTGCATGGTTTTGGTCCTTTCTTATGGTTTGGTTTGACTTTTAATTTGGAAATTACACTTTTTTGGCTCAAGAACACAACCACAGAATATGGTAAAACGGGAAATATCCATGCCAAATGTGAATTGTGAGATTAATAAAGCATATCTTATCTCTTATCTTATCTTATATGTCCTCACTATGTCCTGTTGTTTTAAGACAGTTATTTACCTTCCTCTAAAGTGCCAGAGGAGCCTCCACTTACTGCAGAAAATGAGGTGTGAATGGCTGCTCTGACTCTTGTTTCTTTGATGAGCACTCTTGTCCTCTATGCTCTTGATAATCTCTCTAGAGGGTCTATAAACCCCACAACCACACACATCACACTCTGACCTGCTGTGGTCAAGAGACACACTTAATTCTGGGGGAGCCTTGCTCTACTTTCATTATGCTCTTTATTTTAATAGCAGCGTGAAAGATGGGGTGATGTGGTGGAGTGATAAGAATCAAAGCAGACAGGAGCTTTAGTGAGAAGCAGTTCTGATTTGTGACAATGCGAATGGTTGGAGGATTCTCATTGGGAGGATGTTAAACAGCTATACACTTACAGGCAGAGGTTAAGTGCTTATTTATTTGAAGAGAAAAGCAAATGGTTTTAGTCTCTCGTTGCCCAAATGTCTTACTCTGACTGAGTGTTGTGAACACTCAGTCAGACCAACTTACTTCACATCCTCACTTTGTCTCCATGCTCTATTTCTTTATTTTATTTAACAAATGAGAACAGTCCAAATGTGTTCTAGTAAAAAACATGTTTACAAAATAATAGTTATTCTATGATGATTGTAAAATTCCATGACCTGATTAACTGCTGTATCCATGTTTTTGATCATACTAAAATTAATTTGTGTTGCTTCTTGATGAACAGGTATATTGGAACACTAGGGGCACGTGTGATCTGTAACAACATCCCTGGGTTAGTGAGTAAGCAGAGGCAGCTGTGCCAGCATCACCCTGACATCATGCAGGCCATAGGAGAGGGCACCAAGGAGTGGATCAGGGAGTGCCAGCACCAGTTCAGACACCACCGCTGGAACTGCAGCACTCTGGACCGGGACCACTCTGTGTTCGGGCGCGTCTTACTGCGCAGTAAGTGTGTGCTTGAAATAAGTATCAAAGCATATGTAAATATTTAGAGAAATTCTGACTGTCAGACAAAACTGCAGGTTTGAATGATCACCAACGTTGACCCGTACTATCTCCCTCTCACGCACCCTTTTGTACTAATGGACTCCATCCTGCAACAGTTGCAACAAATTCAATCAGGTATGGTTGTTTGTTAGCTATAAAGCAAACAAACAACGATACCATAAACCTGTAGGTGTCTGCAACAGCTGGTTCATATCCCAGAAGAGAAGAAAAGAATAACACAGATAATAACAGTATCATGACATCATCTCCATTGATTTATGGTGTATCACTGTGTCTGTTGTGACTTGTGTAATATAATCCACGCAAGGGTTGCTTCCCTCTACATTTTTTTGCAGGTAGCCGTGAAGCTGCATTTGTCTACGCGATCTCTTCAGCAGGCGTGGTGTATGCCCTCACTCGTGCCTGCAGCCAGGGAGAGCTCAAGACCTGCAACTGTGATCCACACAAACGAGGGCGATCCAGTGATGACCGAGGCGAGTTCGACTGGGGAGGCTGCAGTGACAATATTAACTATGGAATAAAATTTGCAAAAGCTTTTATTGATGCAAAAGAGAGGACTGTCAGAGATGCGCGAGCAGTTATGAACTTGCACAACAACCGCTGTGGAAGAACAGTAAGTGATACTGACCTCATTTTAATATTGTTTATTAAATAAATCAAATCAATTAATTGTTTATGGTTCAAAAGCACAGCAGCAGACAAATTGAGGGGTGTCACAGAATTATTGATTCACCAACAGCAGATAAAAAAATCAAACAATTCGAACAAATGAATGCAACATTAAAGCACATATGAGTCATTGGTCCATAGGTTAAGAGGTTGGGGTTTTTCAGGCCCACAGTTAGTCCCTTGGACCGACAAGACTGTAGATCCAGGAGTTTAGATCTTTTGGAACCATAGCGACTTGGGCTTGCCAAGGGAAGGGAGAGGTTACAGACTGATCAACATAGTCAAATCACAGGAAAGACAAGAGGATTGACAATGTTTTATGGCACTGTAATTATATCAATTTTGTGTGTTTAGACCAGGAAATGGTCATTCTTTCTGTGGGTCATATTGGAATATCAGCCTGCTGTCAGGGGCTGGACTCCACTGGTTTTCACATAAAACATAATAAATTATAGTAATAATTATCTACATAACTATATATATATATCTCTAATTTAATGTGTGCTCATTAACAACCACAGCTCTAAATATTGCCAAATCAAATGTCACTATTTGCCTCATTGTCCTCAATTCTGTCCTGTGCTGGTCACATTCAGGCTTTTTCAGAATTTTTTTTGGCGATTGATTAACGTGGCCACAATGCTATTTAGTCAAATAAGCAGTGGTGTCATAATGAGCAGTGATGAATTTTGAGGGTCCCAGAGAAAGGTAGAAAACAGTAAAGGAAAGAGAAGATTAAAGTACATTGCAGGCAAAGTTTAGCACAGACTGCAGAAAGAAGGGGCTGCCGTGGAGAGCTAGCTTTGACACAAGCTGAGAGAGAGAGACAGGTGCGGCAGAGCAAGGAGCGCGTCTCACAGTCTTCATAATACATTTATATAAACTGAGGGCTCGGGGCCTGGTAGAAATGTCCAATGGGCTGCAACTGGCCTGCGGGCAGGGGTTTACTCACCACTGGTTTGGACTGAAAGTCACTGTGCAACTGCCCTATAACCCAGTGACGTGCGGTGAGGTTGGTGATTGGTGAGGCACTGACCCAATCAGATAAACATATATCATATAAATCAATAGGACCTACAGACTGGCTTATTCACAATTTGTTTGGCTACAGCAGAATATGTTTCATGTCCGCATTGTTTGCTCATACCAAACACAAAAGTTTGTAAAAAGCACATTTAACAGTGTGTTATGGGCCATACCTCACTGTAAACATGACCTGCACAGACCACTTCAGTTCAGACCAGTTTCATGTTTAAATTCAGATAATAGTTTGAGCGCAGATATATAATCCTCCATTTAGAAATAAATCCAATGAGTTTTAAAAAGTAAAACAAAACGGGTGTCTCCTCCTTTCATGTTTCGCTAGCTGCAGCCGAGTCTCTAACCTTGCCTGCAAGCTGAATTTTCGCGGTATTTGTGAGTTCACAAACACTCGAGAATACATCTTGCCCCGCTCCCGCCAACCCTTTTCGAGTAGAACATCTAGGTGTTCAAGCCAATCACGCGCCAGTCTGGGGGTTTAGCGCGGGATATCCGGGTTTGACGAAAGCAAGAAGTGCAGGGCCGAAGCAAAACAAACATGGCTACGCAGACTATCAAGTCAGTTTTAGCAGAATCTCCAATTTCTTTTTTGAAAGATGAACAGCGAGAGGCGCTTTGTGCATGCCGATGACGACATAATGTTACCGGGATTGGTTTAAGTCAAACCTTTGTAGGCGGGCACACAGCGTCACTTCGCCCAATCAGCTTGAAGTATTCTGCTGCTTATCCCTCCTTTCCCCGAAAGGATTCTCCTGCAGAAGTCCCAGATTGATATTGTGGAGAACGCATTAGAGTTCTACACAATCATCAATCTGGCTCTTGCCAAGTTACCGAGTCTCAGGTTCATCCAATTTCTAATATCAACCTTCTTAGCCTTCACCTCTCTTCCTTATCATTCATATCATCATTGGAAGCATAAAATTACCCTAAGTGAATTTTAAATAATCTTACAATGTGTTACATATATTTTAGCAAAACCTGTAGCTGCCCTTAGCAGAGGAAGAACAAGAAAGGGGCTTTCTGATAAAATTGGATGCAGCCGAATTCTGGGCTCACATGCGCCCCCCACCCTGAGGCTGGCCTCACTTGGTGACATTACAAGCCGTGGTTTAAGCGCGATTAAGACCCATATTTGTTGTCAAAAACACAATTTATGACCCATCCTCTCAACTGTGGACATGTTGATTGTAAAGGAAATATGTTTGAACTTTGTAAACCGCGATAAACAGAGAGAACAGTTCGATAGCAGCGCACGGGCTCCTGCCTCTGTGAACTACAGGTACGTCTCCCAAGTGAGGCTGGCCTCACAGCGCACCGCTCTGTCAAATATGAGAAAATATGACGAAAATTTATGAAATAAGGCAAAGTTACATGAAAATAATACAATAACATAAATCACTTGATATAGTGACCAAGTATTATTATTTCCATTTTATTCTTTTTTCTTCCCATGATCATAGGTGAGGCCATGCCTCATCTGACTGTCACTGCTATAACCATCTGAAACCCAAATCTGTCCAGCTGTGGTTTCTCAGATGGACACCCGCACAAATAAAGGCTTGAAGTTTGTGATGATAAGTTGTTTGTATTTTTACCTAATATTATTCATACTGCATATGTTTTTACAGGCAGTGAAGCGCTTCATGAAGCTGGAGTGCAAATGTCACGGAGTCAGTGGTTCGTGCACTCTACGGACCTGCTGGATGGCCATGTCAGACTTCAGGAAAACCGGCGACTATTTGAGAAGAAAGTACAATGGGGCTGTGGAGGTCACCATGAACCAGGACGGGACGGGGTTTGCGGAGGCCAACAAAGCCTTCCGGAAGGCCACCAAGAATGACCTAGTGTATTTCGAGAACTCCCCAGACTACTGCTTACAAGACAAAGCTGCAGGTGAGATGTTAAGAGGGGCTGCACATCAGTCACTACTCTCGATCAACCAGAGACAATTTTAGTAGAATCTAGTAACATGGACATCTATCAATCTCATCATCAATTGTGCTGGCACATCATAATTAGTCTATACAGTGGGAACTATCTTTTGACTATTTGTTATTTGTTTTGTCCAAAGTTGAAGTTTGTATTATTCAACATTTATTGGTATCAGCCCTGAAACACCCATATTGTCACCTACATTTTAGTCAATTTTTTTGTCTTTTGCGCTTTGAAAAGTGACGTTCAGCAGCGTCTAGTCATTTAAAGTTAGTGTTATCACTTTGAAACTGTTAAATTCTTACCGGTATATAACTTCACAAATGTCAATTTTCCTGGTGTTCATAGAACGTAGAGAGTGATGTATGGCCCTGGCTGTGTCGTGTGCGTTCATGCGTGACTATTGTGTTTATGTGTTGGGGTGGTCAGATGCCGGTGAGAATGTGGCCATTCACTTGTGGAGCTCAGGGGGAACACCTGAAGAAACCACCTGACCTCTGTCTGTCCAGTGCTACACACTCATTGCTATGTGACCAGATGAAAAGTAATTCTCCGACGGAGGTTCTTGCGTCCTGTGTTGATGCAAAATGTTGATTGCCAATTTATTTTGATATGCAACACTAAGCAGATTTTTATATAGACTTGCAAGTAGCCATGTGGATTTTGCCCGGAGAGACAAGTAAATTTAGAAAAAAAAACCTCCACCCTATGTCTGTCACAGTGTCTGTTTGAGCTAAGCGTAGCTGGAGGGCATGAGATGGGGCCTCCAGTCTGTCTGTCACGCTCCACTGTCCATTTAACCCACACACTCACACTGGGGTTCAAAGAGACCAGTCGCTTGGGAAAGGCAGTGTAACTATAGGCTGCTCTACCAACAGCACATAGTTGTGCTGTTGTTCTATGGGCTGTATGTTGTGATAGATGACAGTTCAAACATGGTGCTTCTCACACCACAACACCAGCGTCTAATCCCTGTGGGCATGATGACATTCACACAAGACACAAATCGGGTTAATAATAAAAATGATCAAATTTATGCTATAATCAACAGCAAAAGTGGTCATAATTATGAAAATAGTGAAACATTTTACCCAAGGATTAATTAATTTTCAATTAGTGTCCAACCGTAGATCTTAATGCTGCCATGTTGATAGATATTTACTGTAGGGCAGTAGACATTCATTTTCTTATACAAAACACCTTCAAAATGTCTCAAACATCAAGATTTCCTGCCATAAATATTAGGTTAAAGTTTGGACAAAGGGGCTGTTAATATTCAGAAATTTAAAGAAAAAAAGGTTAAAGTTACATTGACATTATTTAAATCTATATATTCTCATTATTTTAATCTATATACACTTTAGTTCAAATGCATTGAACCTTGTTATTTAACCTTGTTATTTAAAAATGTATATGTTTGAGGAAATCCAGGCGTCCAGACCTGGGAGCAGACTAATAAGTGCTTTTGATCATGCCCTATTTGCTGATTGAACTTAAAGAGGCAGTGACGTTAGTGACTCTGCAGCCATTTTAATAATCAGAAGATATACTATGTTTTTCATTTATCCAAATATCTCTTCAGTCCATTAGTAGTTGCTTGAAAATAACTGTTTTTAACATTAGTCAAGTTTCCTTTAGTGGCTCTGTTTATTTGTGTAACGGACGAGATGATTTGATGGAATAAGCTGTGAAGGTTTGTTACAGATTGTCAGATGCCCATACTTGATTAGTCTTTTTTCTTTTACACAGAGTAGAAACAAACTGATTACTTTCATAGAGTAAACTAATTAAATGTGATACCAGACCTTTTTTTTAACCACAATTTTGTTTAAACTATTTTTAGATTTTTATTTTTATTTTTATTGATTATTTTTCTGAAATGATTCCTTTTTAAATCAAGTATTTACGTATGTTGTGTTATCCATGTTAATCTTTGTCACTGATGACCTGTTGGTTTCTATGTGACTGGCGTCACAGTAGAATCAGAAGCTGATCTGGTCTTTTAAAATTAAACCAAAATGTCTTTGTCAATCTTTTCTTTTAATTTTATCCACAATATCTCTCTGATATGTCTGTGTTTGAAATCCTTTTTCGAATCTATGATAGTAATTTTAGTTTTATATAAAAGTTATAACTTTTTGAAGTCCGGATGCTATAATTGATAATTGACTTTACTGTAAACACACCTGTTACATCAACTGTGTCGGTGTGTAAGAAGCACGTCATTGGCTCAATATGTTTCCCAGCTTCACATTGGTTCAGAGCGTTAAGGGGCGTTCACACCGGACAAAGTCAATGACAGTCTATGGTTTCGACGCGCACCTCCTTGGTTTGACAGCTTTTAGTGGCATATTAGTTGTGGATAAAAACATAACACAGATGTAACAGAAAAGTAACGTAAAAGTATTAAGTAACGTTGCTTTCTTCAGAGAGTAACTGATGAAAGTAAGAAGTTACTTTTTAAGAGAGGTAATGCGTAAAACTGATCCTCTGTGTGTTTGGTTTGCTTTATATACTCAGACATTAACATTTTCTCACATTTCTTGTGCAGGTTCCCTGGGCACAGCTGGCAGAGTATGCAACAAAACGTCTCGTGGAACCGACGGCTGTGAGGTCATGTGTTGTGGACGGGGCTATGACACCACCAGAGTTAAGCAGATCACCAAGTGTGAGTGCAAGTTCAAATGGTGCTGCAATGTGGAGTGCAAGGACTGCGAGGAGGCTGTGGATATACACACATGCAAGGCACCGAAACGAGCCGAGTGGTTGGACCAGACCTGAGGCCATCTTCTCCTTGCCACCACTTCTATTATTCGCAGAAACATTTAATGGAAGATGAGATTGTGGGATATTTGCCTCCCCACTTCTTTTGTCCATTTGTCACTGCATGGCTTTGATACCTGTCTCTGAAGAAGCACTAGAAGTACTTTTTGGTTCATCATCCCCAGTTTTTGAAGGAAAAGGGAGATATGTTCCAGTGTGATGTTAAAAAAGACAGTTTTGTTTTTAACTGACTCTCCAACATATCCAGTATTATATGAATTGAATGGCATGGTGATGGCCTTTTTTTCTGTGAAGGGGGAATAAAAATAACTGTGATATTCTAAGAATGCAAAATTGACTTTCGGAAGCCACTCGACTAGTGCACTTTGAGAAGTGGACATTGTGGTTTTATATTGCCACAGACAGAGGACTTAACACAGGAAAAAGGAGTGTGACACTGAAACGTGTTGTTAAAACCACCATGACTACAAAAAACTGAAATAAGCTGTGTGGAATGAATTATTTAAATGTGAAATATTTCCATTATTATTTGTGTATCAGACTTAAGGAGAACATCCTTGCAATAAATCATAAGCCGAATTTTGATCGATTTTGGAAAGTAAGCCTTTGTTATGTAATCTGCCGTGGACAGCCAACTCCCAGCTTGTGTAATGTTGACTGTATTTCTTATATAAACTGATGTTAAAAATAAATGTATGGTACAACTAGTATTATTAGTGTAACGGTATAAGGAATGACATAGATATAGAAATAAACAAAGCTTCAGTGGGGCAAAAAGAATTTAGTCAACCACTAATTGTGCAAAATCTTTTTTTTTGTTAAAAACAAATGTCCATTTTGTAACTTAGTTCTTTACCCTTGTTGGCAATGACAGAGGTCCAACATTTTCTATAAGTCTTCACAAGGTTTTTACACACTGTTGCTGGTAATATTTTCGAGCTGTCACTGGGCAACACAGACTTTCAAGATTTTCTATGAGATCTGGAGAGTGAAATGCTTCATTCAAAGCCACTCCTTTGCTTTCCAGTGAGTGTATTTGGGATTATTGTCCTACTGAAAGACCCAGGCAAGTTTTATCTTCAATTCCCTTGCTTGATGGACGGAGGTTTTCAAAAAAATCTCTAAATACATGGTCCCATCCATTCTTTCCACGATCCATGAGATATTGAGGGAAAACCTCCTTCCATCAGCATGGGCATTGAAAATGCATTACTTCTTTAGGAGAGATCTGCATGGAGGAATGGGCCAAAATGCCAGCAACAGTGTGTGAAAACCTTGTGAAGATTTACAGAAAATGTTTGATCTCTGTCATTGCCAACAAAGAGTATATAACAAAGTATGGAGATGACTCAATACTGAAGTATTGAGATACTTTATTTGAAGAAAATACTTATTTTCCACCATGATTTGTGAATACATTCTATAAAAATCAATGGGATTGTTATTCCCATCTCTCATACTTGAGGTACAGTATACTGCACCTGTCACCTTTTTAAGTGAGAGGATTTGCACAGTTGGTGGCTGGGTACTTTTTTGTCCCAATGTATTAGAAGAAATGCCACATTTCTTGATCACATTGGTGAGTACTGTGTCCATTAGAGGGTGGAGTGGTGAGAGTGTGGCTAAATCGTCCCACACTCATTTTAACGTAATTCCAGATGGGTGCTTCGTAATGATGGGGCGCTGTAATTACCTGGACTTGTCAATAACTGATGATTGGTCTGTGGGTTTTTGTTGGAAAAGCCTTAATCATAGGCTTCTTGGACAGTTTATCAAAGAGCTTTAATCTGCCCCAACCTCTGCCCCTACTGCTCCCATCAGACCATTAAACCACTGACAAGTGAAAAGAATGAATTTTTCGGAAGAGCCAACTGATAGGTACTGACACTGGCCAAGATGTACAGTGGAAACTGGGAGTTTGCACTGTTATAAAGACACATGATGAGTATACACTGCCCTGTATTAAATCATTTATTCTTACCAAAAATATCTCTAAGATCACAATGTTAGTTTTTGTGAATATTGTTTTCCTTATTTCCACAAAGTCTGAAGTTTGCATATGTATATTCATATTTAGTAGAATTGCCTTTAAAACTTCTAAAAGGTTTTCAGTATCCATCCACAAGCTTCTCACAAGTTAGGTGGAATTCTTGTAAACAAACCTGAGTCCATTATATCAGATTTGTTTTTTACAATAGCAAATTGTCAATAATAATTCTCGTTCTTATCATCATGTCCACATTTCATCAGCATTTTAGGAAAATATCCTTTAATTATATTTTTTGTAAACCAGCTATCTTCTGCTCAGTTTCTTTCAAATTCAGGCAGGAGTTGATGGAAATTTGGGCACTCTAAGTCCACAACAAACAGTGACCGGGGTTTGACAGATAGCTGCAGGCGAGGTTCGGACGCTCTGTGTTTCTCCTGTCTCTCACCTGTCATTGTGTTGACACCATAAAGTGCATAAAAACATACAAGTGGGTGTGTGTTTGTGTGCGTTTGTGTGTGGCAGAAAAGACTCGCCTTTGGCCAGATGACTCAACAGAAGGAGATCCTTTCTTTACATCATCACTGTAGAGCAGCGGTCCCCAACCTTTTATTGTGAGGGCCACATAACTTTTTCAGAAAGCATGCTGAGAAACTGAACAGTAATACAGCACCTACACAGCACAACCATCCATCCATCCATCCATCTTTTTCACTGATCCTCACTGATCCTCTGCAGGTGGTGAGTCTACAGGAGGACGGCTGCTCTGTCAGTGACAATACGGCCTTGATTTTGCAGCGGGGGCTTCAGGCAATGCAGGGTTAAGTGTCTTGCCCAAGGACACAACGACAGCAGTCATCAGTGGGAGTCGGTGGAGAAGGTCCCGTGGTGGGCTTGAACCTACAACCTTCAGGCCAGTGCTCTACCAACTGAGCTAGTGTCGCCCCTACACAGCACAACCAGTACCAAGTTTATTTGTATAGCACAATTCCATACACAAGGCAACTCAAAGTGCTGAACAAAATAAGAAAGCATTAAAATCATAAATAATCACAGAATATTAAAAAGAAAGATGAAAATATAAAATCCCTCAGTTGTATGCACAGCTAAACAGAACTGTTTTTAACCTGGTTTTAAACATTGTCAGAGAGGAGGCCTGTCTCACATCTTCAGGAAGATTGTTCCAGATTTTAGCAGCATGAATCTGAAACGCGGCCTCCCCATGTTTAGTTCTGACTCTGGGCACTAATAGGAGTCCAGTCCCTGTGCTCCTCAGAGTCCGGGCTGGTTCATATGGTACTAACATGTCACTAATATATTTTGGTGCGAGGCCATGGAGAGACTTGAACACAAGCAGAGCTGTTTTAAAGTCTATTCTCTGAGCCACAGGAAGCCAGTGCAGAGACCTGAGGACTGGACTAATGTGGTCGTACTTCCTGGTTCTAGTCAGGACTCGAGCTGCTGCATTTTGAATGTACTGCAGCTGTTTTATAGCCTGTTTGGACAGACCTGTGAGCAGGCCATTGCAGTAGTCTAACCTACTGGAGACAAATGCATGGATAAGAATCTCCAAGTCTGCTTTAGACACTATGTTTTTGATCCTGGCAATGTTTTTTAGATGGTAAAAAGCTGCTGATGTTACTGATTTGATGTGGCTCTGAGTCCAGTATTACCCCTAGATTTCTGACCTTGTTTGAAGGTTTTAGGGAGAGAGACTGTAGATGGCAGATGACGCTCTCTCTTTGTTTCTGGGGACCAAAGAAAGTTTTTTCAGTTTTGTCTGCGTTTAGCTGAAGGAAGTTATTTTGCATCCACTTTCTGCGTATTAACTGACCTAACGGCAGCATGTAGAGATTGAACAGAAGAGGTCCCAAGATCGACCCCTGTGGTACTCTACAGGTCAGGGCCATATGATCTGAGACACAGTTCCCAATCTCCACAAAGTACTTCCTGTCTTCGAGGTAAGACCTGAACCAACTGTGTGTAATCAAGTCTCCGTATAAATGCACCTGCTCTTTGATCGTCTCAGGGTTCTGTTTAAAGCGCAGAGAGAACCATGAAGACAAAGGAACACACCAGGCAGGTCCGAGATACTGTTGTGGAAAAGTTTAAAGCCGGATTTGGATACAAAAAGATTTCCCAAGCTTTAAACATCTCAAGGAGCACTGTGCAAGCAATTATACTGAAATGTAAGGAGTATCAGACCACTGCAAATCTACCAAGACCCGGCCGTCCCTCCAAACTTTCATCTCAAACAAGGAGAAGACTGATCAGAGAGGCCCATGATCACTCTGGATGAACTGCAGATAACTACAGCTGAGGTGGGAGAGTCTGTCCATAGGACAACAATCAGTCGTGCACTGCACAAATCTGGCCTTTATGGAAGAGTGGCAAGAAGAAAGCCATTTCTCAAAGATATCCATAAAAAGTCTCGTTTAAAGTTGGCAACAAGCCACCTGGGAGACATACCAAACATGTGGAAGAAGGTGCTCTGGTCAGATGAAACCAAAATCGAACTTTTTGGCCACAATGCAAAACGATATGTTTGGCGTAAAAGCAACACAGCTCATCACCCTGAACACACCATCCCCACTGTCAAACATGGTGGTGGCAGCATCATGGTTTGGGCCTGCTTTTCTTCAGCAGGGACAGGGAAGATGGCTAAAATTGATGGGAAAATGGATGGAGCCAAATACAGGACCATTCTGGAAGAAAACCTGTTGGAGTCTGCAAAAGACCTGAGACTGGGACGGAGATTTATCTTCCAACAGGACAATGATCCAAAACATAAAGCCAAATCTACAATGGAATGGTTCACAAATAGACGTGTCCAGGTGTTAGAATGGCCAAGTCAAAGTCCAGACCTGAATCCAATCGAGAATCTGTGGAAAGAGCTGAAGACTGCTGTTCACAAATGCTTTCCATCCAACCTCACTGAGCTCGAGCTGTTTTGCAAGGAAGAATGGGCAAGAATTCCAGTCTCTCGATGTGCAAAACTGATAGAGACATA